TTAACTTTTTCCAAATATTTCTTCTCTGCTCTCTGCTCCTGAATATGACAATAAATTTTGCTAAAAGGTACCAGTAATAATTATCTCATGGCCTGAATGCTATGCTTCCTAGACATTTCTTCCACCACATAAGGAAGTCACTTCTGGGGCTAGGGTTATGGCTCAATGGTAAAGCACTCACCTAGCATGTGTGAGGCACTGGATTCAATCCTCAGCACCACATAAATAATAAATTTTAAAAAAATAAATGTATTGTGTTCATCTACAAATAAGAAAAAAAATAGTCCACCACTTCTAAAATCAGCCCTACTGAAAGTCTCAGGACCTGGGCAAAATGCAGACACTTCTCAGCCAGAACATAACAAGAATAGTCTCAACTCCAAATTTCAATAAAGTCCTCCATTTCTAAATCCTCTTGAGCCTGGTCTTCACTGACCAGTGTCCTGTTGCCATTCTGGTCTTCTGAGCTCCCACCAGAATCAGCCATTAATCTCTGCTTATACCAATCTAAAGCATTTCCATCTACATTGCTACACATCGCAAAATTCCTCCCACAAAATCCAAAAAGCTCAAAAACGCTTATTAAACATGAGTGAAGCCCTGGAAGGCTGTCCTGATAAGAGGAAACAGCAAGACCATCAGGGTGGAGACCACCAGACAAGATGTTTCTGACCACAGGGTAAATGATGTCACTGAGAAATCTGGTGGTAGCTGGTAAGGATTGAAAAGGTGGTTAAAACCCCAAAATTTTGTATGAATAATAGAGCAAATGAACAGGAATTTAGCAGCTGAAACAAGGATGCACTCAAGCTGGAGAGCCTGATGAGGACCTGACATCCCATCACTTGTCATCATTTCCTGAGCCTCTGCATAATCCTCACCACTCTCCAACTCTACCACCTCATCTGGACCTTGGTGAGAGCCACAACTTCTCCCTATGACCCTCTCCTCAATTGATCATCCACTCCACACCAGGAAAAGCATACCTTGCTTCTGGACCTGATCACTGGGTCTGAGTGAGAGTGCATCTGCTGGACTTAAAGCCTAATGCTTGCAGAGGAAATGTCTGTCAGACTATCATGATTAAGTGTGTTTTTCAGAGCTTAGAATTAATCTAAAATTGTTTGCTGTAAATTAATTAATCTAGAATTGTTTGCTGTGAATTGATTATGTCTATTGCGATGCCTATAATTAAGGATTGTCATTTTCTTGATTAAAAAACCTATAAAATAAAATTGCGTGGAGTGATTTGAGTGAATAAGCACTGAAAGGGGCAGAAGAGAGTGGGCATTCTTTACTCCTCCCCTCAACTCCATACATCCCAATTTTGCCCCCTCGTGACAAAGGTGAAAGAGTGTGGCAGAGGGAACAAACTCACATAGCCAACTGAAAGCAGAAGATTACTCCATTCACCAGATAAAAATATATATATATATCAGAAAGCCATGCCTCAAAAGTCCCAACTCCTCCAGCCACACCTCAACAGCCTTCAGTGACCACTCAGTTAATCCAAATGAGGGGACTGAATCACTGAGGATGTTGAGGCTCTTAAGACACAATCATTTCTCCCCTGAACCTTCTTGCATTGTCTCATGTGTAAAGGTTTGGAGTACACCTTACACCAAAACTATAACAAAGTTGTGGACCTTTCCCAGGGTCTCCTTGAATCTCCGAGATTTTTGAGATCAACAATGAAGCTCATGTCTTCCTCATGCTCATTAGTGGTCTTCAGTGCCTTCCACAGAACATCCACAGTACTAAGGATACACTGAAATTCAGTGTGACTCAGAGCAGTGTCTCTAGGCATTCAGGGTCTTCACAGGTATCTAATTTGGGTGCAGGACTCTTCCCAGTGTATCACAGGAATTGAAAGATTTTGCAGATCTCTAAAGAGCCTCACAGCATTTCATGCTGATTCAGTGGAGTGTGACACCTTGCCCAGGGCATCAGTGTGTTTCATGGTCTCCTCTAGTTTCACAGTCATGCTCAGGGTGTTTTCCCAGAGACTTAATGTTGTTGTTCTTTTCCTTGGGTATTCATGGGTGATGTCAGAAATTTCCAGCATCTCAGTGTGGTTCAGAATGTTCCTCTAGGTTTTTAAAGAGCCAAAAGCCCTGCTTAGGGCCTCTGGGTACCTCATGGCTATTACCAGGCTCTCAGTGTTTCTCAGGGTCTTTTGCAGTATCTCAGTCATATTAAGTGCTATTCCCAGGGTGTCAGCTGGAATTAGGTAGTTCCTCAAGGGTACCATGTTCAGAATTTTTGCCAGGGTCTCAGAAAATATCAGCACCTGTGTCTAAATGGGATTCAGGGATTTTCCCAGTGAATCACTGGAATTTAGAGCTTCTCCAGGTCAGTATGAGACTCGTGGCCTTTCATAAGCATTCAATGGACTGTGACTCTGTTCTTTTCCAGAATCTCAATAAGTTTTATGGTCTCCTCTATTCTCACAGTCATGTTCAGGGTGGTCTCAAAGAGTCTCAGTGTTCTCCTTCCATTCTGCCGGAATTCAGTGAATCTCTCAAACATTCCCAGAACCTCAATATGGTTCAGGATGTTCCCCAAATTTTCACAGAACCAAAAGCATTGCCCAAATCATCAGTGGGACTCATGACCATTACTGGACTCTCAGTTTTTCTCAGAATATTTTGCAGTGTCTCAGTCATGTTCAGTGCTCTTTCCAGAGTCTCACCTCAGCTTAAATACTTCCCCACTGACACTGAGTTCAGTGTCAGTAAATCTCAGCCCCTTTTCCAGGCCCTCAGTGGAGTTCATTTTCATTCCCAGGGTCACAGTTGTTCCCAGGGCCTTCTTCACAATAAAATTGGTGTCATTGCCTTTCCAAGCAGTCAGTGAAGCTATAGTTTTCCTAGGTTACACTGATGACCAGGGTTTACCCCATTGTCTACCTGACACTCAGGGCCTTCTCCATAATATCAGAGGAGCTCAGGGGCTTTTGTTTTAATTTGTTTTGTTTGTCTCAGGAGGGCTCAAGGCCTTTCTTCAAATTTCAGTCATGTTTAGAAACCTCCACATGTTCTTCATGGTGCCCCGATTATTGCCAATGCTTAGAAGAGGCTGGTGGCCTAAATAAATGTCCCGGTGTTTTAATCTCTCTTTGCTCAGTGGTGTTAAAATTTCTTCAGAGTCTTAAGAATGCTAAAGGCCTTCCTTAGGTTGATAGATGTATTCACAGCCTTCCTAGGAGTCTTTGTGGTCTCATGACCTTCACAGGGTGTAAGTGCAGATGAGTACCATTTCCATGATCACCTTGTGCTCAGGTTTCTTCCTGGGGTCTTAATAGGTCTCATTGCCTTATCAAGACCTCCGTGGATTTCAGAGCCATCCACAGTGTCTCCTTTTTTTCTTCTTTTTATAGAGTTCCCCCATAGTCTCAGTGCTATTTTCAGAGAATCAGTTGATATTCAGTGTTTCTTCCAGCATCAGAGTGACACTGAATCTTCCCAATGAAAACATTGGGTTCAGGGCCTTTCAGAAGTTTTTACTGAATCCCAGGGATATTCCAGTGTCTCTGTGGAGCTCAGTGCCATTTCCAGCATCACAGTGGTGTTCTTGGTGTTTAATTCAGTGTTAGATCCTTTCCAAGTATCATAATGAGGTCTGAGGCCTACCTTAATCTTTCAATACATTTTATTATGCTTCACAATATGTAGTAATGCTTAGATTTTTCCCCCATTTCTTGGAATATATTGTCTGTCACTTGTGTCTCAATGGGGATTAATTCCTTGCCTCGTGTGTTATTGAAACTCAGGGATATTCACATTGTCATAGTGTTGCTCAGGGCCTGCCCACTCTGTTGTGGTACTCAGGGCTACTCCATGTTTCTTAGTGTAAGCTCAGGGCTTTCTCCAGAGTCTCAGTCCAGCTCAGTGTTCACTTCAATGGCTTATCAAACCTCAGAGTAGTGTCTAGTTTTTTTTTTAAGGTCTCAGATATGATTTCATCTCATATTTCCCCCAGTTCTTCTGTGAGAGTAAAAGCCTTTAGTATCTTGTCACTGGGGTTTTCAGATTCACCAGCTCTAAATGTGTTTGTGGACCTTTCCCTGATTCCCTTGTTTTTTTTTTTTTTTTTTTCTGCTCAACAGTGAAACTCAAGGCTTTCCCATATTCTTTAGTTGGACTCATTACCTTCCATAGTATATCAGTAGTTCTCAGGACTATCTCTAGAATTTGGCTATGATTCAGTGTAGTCTATAGAATTTCAGGGATACTGAAATGCTTTTCATAATTTTGTGTGATTTAAAGGCCTTCACAAATGTCTCTTGGCATTCAGGCCTTCACTGGTGTTAATGCACATTCAGAGCTTTTCCCAGTGTATCACTGGAATTCAGGGCTTTCCCAGATCACTAATGAGGCTCATGGCCTCTGGAAGTGATTTAGTGAATAGTGGAGCCTGGTGTTGTGGCATGTTCTAGATAAATCACTGGACGAGGCTTGAAGGAAGACATGAATATTTATTAATTGGCTGGTCAAGGGCCACTGACCACATTGCCTCTGCATATCTCAACCCCTTGCAGAAAGTAGGATATCTCTTTTGTAGCCAAAACCTGAAAACTACCAGTAATTCAAAACCATAGCAATGTAGGATATGGGCCAGAATGACCCAGTTCAGGGTACAGTACACTTCCAATGAGAAATATCAACTAAAAGAGAGCTTCTTACAACTGTATTTCTTGATAACACACTGTAGAAGAATAAGAAAAACATTTTTCAACCACCATGGCTTGCCAAACAATGTGTGGTTGGCAGGAGGTGGTAGAGGCAGAAGTTTCTCATGAAACAAATCTTTCTTATTGAAATGGAGTCTAAAGGTAGAATGGAGTTTGTCTGATCAAGGAACATGTAGTTTGGTTCGTAATATTCCAATTTTATCTAACAACAATCAAACCCTTGATTTACCTTCTGAATCCAGGAAGATGTTGCAATTGCCAAACATATATAATAATTTGACTGACAAAGTATGTTATTGTAATAGCTATGGCTTTATAAAACAGTCTGAGTAATAGACAAAACATGAGCAACATGTTTTATTCTTATAGCTAGAGGATGACTGGGGCCTCTAAGGGCTATTTGCTCTTTTCTCTTTTTTTTCTATCTTTCTTCTTATTATTATTTTATTTATTATTTAATTTATTTTTCAGGAGACACCATTGTGCTGTAGACATAGTTTCCTGTCTGGAATGGGTGTTGGAAATCAGTGGTCTCTTGGGGTTTGTTCTCTCCAAGGAACTTATAAGCTTCAGGTTGAACCTGTTAAGAGATTTAACAAATGTTTGAAACAGGTGTATGCTATCTTAGAATGGAGGAGGGGCTCTGGAGGTCTGAACATTTGAATAATCCAGAGGTGGTCTCCAACTTTTTGGACCAAAACTGGTCTCCATTTTTTTTGTAATCTGACCTAATTACCTCTCTACACTAACTGAAAATTTTATTTCATTTCCCCATCTAATTCTAGGGACTTCTTGCTGCTATAAGAAAAAGTGGGAGGATCACTCTTATTGCTACAAGGTTATACTGGACATCATGGTAGTGGGACAAGCAGTTGGAGGCCCCTGTTAGAGATAGGGTGGGTCAAGGAGTCTATGGTAAAAGTGTGATTTGGGAAGAACAGGTTGTAAAGTCATCTTGAGGTGGATGTGGGAAACCACTTCTGAGTTATTTAGTGTCTTCACTTGGCCTTGAGCCAGGGAGATTTTGGTTGGGCATTGCAAGTCATTTTGTGGCTTCTCCCACTTCATGAATTATGCAATGCAAGTGATCTTCAGTCTTACCTTGGCTGAACGGGCTGCTCTTGTAGCTTCAGAACTAGGTATGACCCACTGGCCCTGGACAGCCCACCTTCTACCTTTTTTGGCAGAAGAATATTGTATGGAAAATCTTTGAAGTTTCTCCATATATAATAAAGCAACTTTGGGCTCTCTCTTCCCAGTGTGGAAGCTTGATTTGTAAGGCCAAAGAGCCATCCCACACCTGCTTTCAAAATTACTTTCTGTGTAGTGTGGTTTTTCTGCTGCCTTCTTTTCTTGGCTGTATTTCACAGCTAGACTGCTTTATGCAAAAGTAACCCCAAATTCCACCACCTGTGCAGGATGTTGTGAGGAGCCACTCCAAATGCATGCACCTTTAAGTCCTGATGCACCACAGGGATCTGAAAGATTACTATAGTCTGGCATGGTGGTGCCATTGCTCATGACTTGGTCTTATTGTGGGCTGAATTGTAGAAAGTAAGTGAATTAGACAAAAGAAAAATCTGTGGCATTATGCTTTTAATATTTGGGAATATTTTACCTTTAGAAAGGGTAAAAATAATTTTTACAATTCTAGACACTCTAAATAAATGTAAAGAATTCTTAAGATGACTAAAGGGATATGCTGTTCAGTCCTCTTCCATGGGAAAAGCGCTCCTGTGGACCTTTCTGGATTGTTGTTATGAATCTTTATATTTTGAAATATTAGGTAATTTTTTTTGGGGGGGTGCTTATGTACTAGAAGTCTGCCCTTGGAGACTGAGAAAAAGGAAAGAAGGAATATGAGACTTCTTACATGGATTCTTTACCTTTAGAGAAGTGAATTTTATTTTTCTATTGTTTTTGTGAATACTCAGACAGTTTATACTGAACCTCTTTGCTACATTTTTTTCCTACCACATCAGAATCTAAAGACTTTAGCCACTGTTCTATAATGTGGTCTATAACTAGACCCACCACCAGCAGTGCTTTTAACACTTAAAGAACCTGAACTAGGTGCCAAACACAGACTGCCTTAAGATCTGATGGTAACACTGGCATCTGCTGTTAAAACACACATTTTAAAGTCCCACATGCTTCAAGGGAAAATACAACAGACAGAAGAACACCAGCTGCAGCAAGCACAGGGAGCTGAGACAAGGCAAGCTGCCTCCCACCCTAGAACCCTCCCCAGCTGCAGAAAATACAAACAAATCAAAAGGAATGCAAGTGGCCAGACAAGGAACAGCTGGTCCCTGCTGTTTCCATCACCAAGGTAACAACAGGAAGCCTGGAAGGCCCAAGCTGGTTTCCTGGTTCTGCCTCCTGTATTTTCCTGGCTTCCCATTGGTCCTTTCACTGTCACTCAGACAGGACTTCTGGTCCCACTTTCCACCACTAACCTGTACTTCCTGTTTCATCCCTGCTACCAGGAGCTGCACAGAGACTGCATTTTTAAAAAAATATC